CTGTCCCCCCCCCCCCCCAGCAGCTTCACTCCTACACTTTTTTCTCCAATGCAGATCTCCTAAGGAAACATCTCCATTAAGCACAATCCTGTGCCGGGCCATAATACCAATGTTTTGACGGACTGCGAAGCATTTCTTATCTCAAGCACTGAAACAGTCTCCTAGCGCATCCAAAGGGACCCATTTCTTCTTCCGCAATGAACTTGCATTCGTAATCCACTTGCTGGGGTCCTTAGGCACTTCAAAGTAAATTCAGGGATGCAATCAGATGGAGACATAACTCAGGTTTTGGACCACTTGCAGCACGGTCCAATTATTAGCTATTTTCCAACTATCAGATGATGTACAGGAAATTGTGAAACAGCCTGACCCTGCTCCATCCCCGTACTGGGCTTTTTTGGCCCATCAAGAGGGCAACTCTTTTTTCAAGGTCAGCTGGAGCAATTCCTGTGCGCACAGAAACATCACTTTAAGGGAGATCACTCCCAGCAAAACTATCTATTCCAGTGCAATCAGACCTGATTCTGTATCGCCATCCGATTGTACCCTCACTGAACTATCAAAGGGATAAGCAAATCAGTGCCCCTTCAAAAAAGGGATCTGAGAAAAAAAATTCACCTGTACTACATAAGCAGAACACTTGTGAAAGTTAGCATCTACCAACTTCCCATCCATAAAGATTTGTCCTCCTTTCAGCCCTTTGGGGTCTTTCCATCCTGCGATGACATCAAGGAGCCTAAAGGGAAAACAAAATGCCAATTATCTATCATATCTTTCATACCTCTGTGCCCCTCTATGCTGCCTGGATGGGGCGCAACACTTTGCAGAAATAAACAGCCTGCTTCTGAGATCTGAGCTTGGCAGAAAAACATCAACATAGGCAGCCTCTCTCACCACGTTATCCACAATGCATCATGATACTGAAGGACCTCAGAGAGCAAAACGTGAGGCAGGCAAAATAATATGTTATGCTGCTGTGTTAAAGGATGGGGGGAAGGTGAGTCCTCAGCCTTGAAGTAGTGATAGAAAATATTGATAGAGTTGGCTCTTATTGCTGGAATCATGTTTGCCATACAGGTATCAGCTGAGAGAAGCACACAACACTTGAGGATAAGATTCTGGAATGGAAGGATATTTGGGTTATGGTAACAGCTGTGATTGTTTCCACACTAGCCCATGTTACTGGAGTTTATATAATTTATTCACTGGTAACATCCTTTATTTACTATTAAATAACCTACAGTTGGCAAAGGTTATTGGATAAAGTCAATAGACTAGTAATGAACATGGTCTAAAAACAAATGCAAGGAAACTACATTCACAGCAATCTGTAAAAGGCTTGGACCCTGACCAAGGAAGAAGCACACAACACTTGAGGATAAGATTCTGGAATGGAAGGATATTTGGGTAATGATCACTGCAGATAGTGACAGCAGCCACAAAATTAAAAGATGCCTGCTTCTTGGGAGTAAAGCGATGACAAACCTAGACAGCATCTTAAAAACCAGAGACATCACCTTGCCGACAAAAGTGTGAATAGTCAAAGCTATGGTTTTTCCAGTAATGATGTATGGAAGTGAGAGCTGGACCATAAAGAAAGCTGACGGCCAAAGAATTGATGATTTTGAATTGTGGTGCTGGAGGAGACTCTTGAGAGTCCCCTGGACGGCAAGGAGATCAAACTTATCTATTCTGAACGAAATCAATCCTGAGTGCTCACTGGAAGGAGAGATCCTGGAGCTGAGGCTCCAATACTTTGGCTATCTCATGAGAAGAGAAGACTCCCTGGAAAAGACCCTGATGTTAGGAAAGTGTGAAGGGAGGAGAAGAAGGGGACGACAGAGGCTGAGATGGTTGGACAGTGTCATCAAAGCTACCAACTTGAATTTGACCCAACTCTGGGAGGCAGTGGAAGACAGGAGGGCCCGGCGTGCTCTGGTCCATGGGGGTTACAAAGAGTCGGACACGACTAAACGACTAAACAACTAAACAACAACAGCTGTGATTGCTTCCACACTAGCCCACGTTACAGGAGTTTATATAATTTATTCACTGGTAATTTCCTTTATTTAATATTAAGTAATATACGGTCAGCAAAAGGTATTGGATAAAATCAATACACTAGTAATGAACATGGTCTAAAAACAAATGCAAGGAAACTACATTCAAGTAGTATGTAAAAGGTTTGGACCCTGACCAAGGAGAAGGTCAGACCAGACTGTAACATTTTGAGACAACTTGGATAGAACACTCAATGGTGAACACAGTGTAATGGTGCACATACCCTAGGCAAATCAGTTCTTTTGGCACTGAAGAAGGAATCTCACAAACTCTTTTCCTCCATCACAGCAGTGAAAAGGCATTCATAAAACATCAGATAACTAGCAATTGTTTGCCTTTCATGGCATCAAAATCTGCTCCCTGACAAAGCCACCTCTCTTTACCTATTCAGAATCTGCATATGGCCCTACATAGAATCTGCCTATGGACTGATCTACAGCAGTAGTTTCCAATCTTGGGTCCCCAGATATTCTTGGACTACAACTCCAAGAAATCCTGGCCAGCTCAACTAGTGGTAAAGGCTTCTGTTTTAGTCTAAGAACATCTGGGGTCCCAAGGATTTTAGTCTAAGAACATCTGGGGTCCCAAGGGTGGAAAAGAGAGGTTACCTGCCTGTAACCACAGTTCTTCTAGTGGTCCTCTGTGAATCCACACAACTGGGCTGTCCTGCGCCTGCGCTGAACCTCTTGGAAGTTTCGAGAGCTTAAAGACACATGATTAGTGGGACCTTCCTCTGTGGAGCGCATGCTTCACCCATCACTGATCCCCTCAGCTCCTGTAAAAGTCAACCACTGTCAAAGAGCTATTTAAAATACAATGTGATGGACAAAGGGGAGGTTGGGCGGGATGTGGGGATTCACAGAGGACCGTTAGAAGAACTATGGTTACAGGTAGGTAACCTCTCTTTCTTCTTTGTGGCCTCTGTGAATGCACACAATTGGGTGATTGGCAAATTAACTTACTGCATGGTGGGACGTCATGGTAGAAAGGATGCCAAAACAGCTCTTCCAAAAACAGCATCATTCTGTGTCCTGACATTGAGATGATAGTGTCTGACAAAGGTTGATGGAGTAGACCATGTTGCTGTACGGGAGGGAGTTCAATCCCACGCTGGAAGGCAGTAGATGTTGACAGTGTGCTCTGGTAGAATGGGCCGTTAAATGTTTAGGAGGTGTTTTGCCAGTGAGCTCATACGCCAATGAGATAGTTTGGACAATCCATCTAGAAATAGATTATGGTGAAGCTGGAGCCCCTTTATGAGGACCATGAAAACATAGAAAGAGTCTCTATGATTTTTTTGGATGATTTGGTCGTCAATGTAAAAGAACGAGGGAGCATCTTACGTCAAGTGTATGGAGCACTTTTTAAGGGGGGAGGTAAGTAGTGATCACCCCACTTTGGCTCAGGTAGATTATTGGTCTGTACCAATGAGAGCTGTTGGGAGGCAGAGCCAGAGAAACTAGAAGGGAGGGGTGAGTCAGAGTCTAGTCAGTTCAGTCAGAGAGACCCAGAGAAGAGAGAGAGTTAGAGGCAGAGAGAGTGTTTAAGTAGTGATTAGTCAGAGTGTGGCCTGTATTAATTAAGATAGAAGAGGTTAAAGTAAAATACAGAAGCTTTGTGTAACTTCAAGAATGTGCTTAAGAATTATTCCTGAAATAACTTGTAATCAATAAATCTGTTTAAAAGTTCAGTACTGAATGGACCTTAGTCTTAGGAATTGTAGGTTGATAAAGAGATCAACTGGTGGCAGTGTGTTAAAGGGCGTGTTGGGGTACTCGTGTGACCTCTGTTTTGGTGAAACAAGCAGGGGCCAAGGGGTAAACATCACAACAGCAGAAAAAAGGAACTGAGAAGATCAGTGATGGGCGGAGCATGCGCTCCACGGGGGAAGTTCCACTAACCACGTGTCTTTAAGCTCTAGAAACTTCCGAGATGTTCAGTGCAGGCGCAGAACAGCCCAACTGTGTGCATTCACAGAGGCCACGAAGAGCCACTGATTGACAGCACTGAACCCACACTTGGAGTACAGCACCAGTTATGTGCAGAGATCCTCAAGTTGGGGAAGATTGCCAACAGGATTAGTTAAGAGCAGGAAACTCCTATACATAGAGCAGAGGGATTCTTGCTCATCCTATGGATAGGTATCCACAAGCACTAACAGGTACCTAAGAGCAGTACTTACGAGGTTTTCCCACTTCCAGTTGGACCCAAGATGGCATTCATACCAGGTTTCATAATGCCACTGGAGAAAGAAAAAGATACAAATTAGCAGGTCCTAAGCCAGAGATCTGTAAAAATATATTCTGTCACACATGTTTTTTTTTAAAAAGAAAGCCATTGTGGTGCAATGATTAGAGTTGAACTTGAAATTTCCAGGTTCAGGTCTCTACTGAATAAAATTCAGAGTTGCAACTACATTGGCCCTTTTGGAGTGGGCTGGTGTGGTCTAAATAGGGCTGCTTGAGATCAGGGGGAGGAGTGATGTGGCATTTGGTGCAATCACTGCATCCAAATGGCATACCTACCTCAAGTGAACCAATTTAGTCTGGCTCTCTCCACTATCAACATCTGGCACGATGAAGTGGCTTAATAAATGAGTCACTTTGTGATATTGGCAAACTGAACACTTTCCCTGGTCCTTGGCAGTGGGGCAGAGGAAGTGAAATCCTTATTTTTTGCCTCTGCTAGACCATCCCTGATGCATTGAATCACTTAGACTACATTTAAGAAAAATATGATTTATGTGTAATGCTGATCAAGAAACTGCCTTGCAGCTGTGGTTTCAATGATTTCACTTCACACATAAGCAAGGAAAAGATTTTCAAAAAATTAATCTAAGTGATGCAGTGCATCAGCAATGGTCTACCAGAGGCAAATACCACCACCACCACCACCACCACTACTACTATTTCAATTTGCTCATATCATGAAGTGGCTTCTTACTAAGCTACTTTACAATCCTGTAAATTGACAGAAGGAGTGCTGGCACCTTTGTCAGCAGGAAGGCATGATTTTGGTCCATTCACAGCAATTGCATGCATTGGAAATGGACCAAACAAGAGCCCATCAATTCATATCAAAAGAGTAGAAGCCCAACAGGGGCTCAAAAAGCTATGGGTAGGGGTGTTCTGGGGATGGAATGGTTCACTCTAGCAACCAGGTCATCTGATCACCAGAAACAAAAGTGGACCAACCTACCCCTGCAGTGCACCAAACAGTGAGACAAATGTCTGTCTGATCAAGCCCCAACCTCTCTTTCAGCCTGACCCACCTCACATAAAGTTATACATTTGCATGGAATTAAAAGGAAAAAAGGGAGGGCTTTGTGTGTCACCAGGAGTGTAATGGATATCCCTCTGGTGGGGGCAGTGAAATTTTCATTGGCATTCCCATGTGATCTGACTAAGAGTACAAGTGGTAACATCTGCAGAGCTTGAAAGGGATCCATGGCAAGTAATGATGTTCCTGGCAACCTGTAACCTTTCCTAAGGCACAGCAATGGTCCAAAACCAAATGACTTGCAATGCTCAACTTATTTCTTCTGGTTCTTCTTACTTCCACTATGTCATGTGGGGGTGGGTGGGAGGTGTCATTTGAAAGACTCATTTTGTAAGTTTTTACGAAAATTAAATATTAATTCAAAAGTAACGTAGTAACATTTAATGACCTATACATTACTTCCAAAAAGATAGCACTAAGACCAGTGCATTAACTTTTAGAAATAATATTCCAGGTCCAACAGATCTGAACTAGATGATGTAGTACACACTTATACACTCTATTGATTGATTGATTGATTGATTGATTGATTGATTGATTGATTGATTTGATTTATACCCCGCCCATCTGGTCTTCCGACCACTCTGGGCGGCTTCCAACACATATATATATATAAGTTTAAAACATAAACACATAAAAAATAACATAAATTAACAATTAATAAATTATTTAAGATGGCAAAAAGTAGAAAAAGAAAGAAGAAGAGGATCATGGATTAACGGGGGGAAGGCCTGCACGAACATCCACGTTTTTAACTGATTTTTAAAGGTACCCAGCGAGGGGGCCGCACGAATCATTGGAGGGAGATTATTCCAAAGGCGTGGAGCCACCGCCGAGAAGGCCCGATTTCTAGTTCTTTCCTTGCGGGCCTCTCTCGGCATCAGGCTCCTCAGCCTCACCTCCTGACTCGCG